CATTGCACTTTGTTCTATCGTTTTGTTCATGACAATATTCATATAATCTTTATTTCTAACACGTTATCAGCACGATACTCTAAAAATTCTAATTTTCTAGAAATTACTCCTCTTCATATTTTGTCCTTGTTCATATTCATGTTATAGATATATACATATACATATACACTAATTTACTTTAGTTTTTCAAGTGTACTTGTAGATATATTGAATCTAAAACTCCTAAATATATTGGAGAATTGGCATGTGAAGCCTACATAATGTGTTAAAATTGATAGTTATATGATAAAACTCAACCTGAAGCTTGAGTACATATTATGTCGGGAAAAATATCATTCCTACAGTTTTTTTCTCTTTTACTAGTGAACTTGAAGTTCATATCTTGATTTCATATGCTCGAAGCATTAATAGTGAAACTCAAACCTGAAGATTTGAGTATGCCACATGAAAATAAATAAATAAATAAATAAATAAATAAATATATATATATATATATATAATGTTAATATTATAGACTTATTATTTGTGATTATGTAATGTGTCAAGGAACCCACTCAACCACAAGCTCAAGCTTGTGGTTGTGGCCTAGAAACAGATATTTATATACTCTAACACGCCCCCTCACGTGCAGGCAAGACCTCTTTGAGCCTTGCACGTGAAACCTTAATTTTTTTAAACTGGGTGGCGGTGAGTTTCGAACTCGTAACCTCTTGGTCATCAAGGCTCTGATACCATGATAGAAATTTGGGATTGGGTATGGACAACTGGATTGGGTAATGAGACACTTGAGCTGAACCACATTAAAAGATTGAATCCAATCGATTAGTTAGTTCAACTCAAGAGCTTATATACCGATTATTTTTGCTCTTGATTTTCCGATGTGGGATGACACTCTAACACTCGCCCTCAAGTGGACAACCGGGCCATTTTGAATCTAACCGGTTGACCACTTGCAAATAAACTGCCATTCCCTTGACTTTTTTTTATGAGCGCCAACACCTAAAGGACCACGAGCCGCTGGGTATGGACTTCCAGACGAGCAATCGTGTTAAACAGGCCACAGGCCGTTGGGTACAACCTCCATATGGACAATTGGGCTAAAGACTAACGGGCCGCTAGGAATGAATGTCTAGACGGACACCTTGACAAACGAGGTGGGCTAAAACTGGCTTGTGGTTGTGGCCCAGGAACAGATATTTATATACTCTAACACGCCCCCTCACGTGCAGGCAAGACCTCTTTGAGCCTTGCACGTGAAATCTTAATTTTTTTAAACTGGGTGGCGGTGAGTTTCGAACTCGTAACCTCTTGGTCATCAAGGCTTCGATACCATGTCAAGGAACCCACTCAACCACAAGCTCAAGCTTGTGGTTGTGGCCCAGGAACAGATATTTATATACTCTAACATAATGTGCTCTACTTTATCATTATGTCTATAGTTTTACTCTAATTGTAACCTCCGCTATAATAATAATAATAATGCATAATAAATAATAATAATAATTGGGACCCTTCAAGTACCTAAGCCGTTTTTATTAAAAAAACAATACACATTAATTTATTTATTTTAATCTACTAATTCGATATATGTGTATGTGTGCGTTTAAAAAAAAATTACAATTAGATTATTTGATAAATAACATTGTCTTGTGTAGTGCAATTTACATATACATTTGTTTTTTTTTCAACTAGTAGATCCTGGTAATGAATTACAAAAAAAAAAACACATGAAATATATGACTAAAAGTTTGGATCAACATGCCCACATGGTTCTAAATAATAATAATTTATAATTTATTTTCAGTAATGGGTAACCTCACCAAGCTTGAATTTGCTGCCCTTGACATTTCCGGAAAGAACTATTTGACATGGGTTCTTGATGTTGAGATTCATTTGAATGCAATGAACCTTGGAAATGCTATTAAGGAAAATGGTGGGGCTAGCAAACAAGAAAAAGCAAAGGCAATGATTTTCATACGTCATCATCTTCATGAAGGCCTGAAGTCTGAATATATTAGGGTCAAAGACCCTGCGACTCTTTGGAGTGACTTGGAGGAGAGATACAACCACCTAAAAAGTGTGATACTTCCAAAGGCTCGTTATGATTGGATGCAACTAAGGTTGCAAGATTTTAAAAGAGTAAACGAGTATAATTCTGCTATGTTTAGGATTGTATATCAATTAAGGTTGTGTGGAGACACCGTCACTGATGCTGATATGTTAGAGAAAACATTTACCACTTTTCATGCCTCTAACATGCTTTTGCAGCAGCAGTACCGAGAAAAAGGATTTACTAAGTATTCCCAACTTATCTCTTGTCTCCTTGTTGCTGAACAAAATAATGATCTTCTCATGAAAAATCATAACTCTCGCCCTACTGGCTCTCAACCATTCCCCGCAGCGAATGCAATCAATTCATTCCCAGAAGCGAATGCTAATTTTTGTGGACGAGGGCATGCTCGTGGTCGCGGTCGTGGCCGTGGTTTTGGTCGTGGTTATGGGCGAGGTCGAGGAGGATTCAACAACAATGTTTTTAGTAAGAAATCTATACCAAACCACTCGAAGTGGGAAAATAATGACCAAAAACAAGAAAAGGGGAAGATCATTAAAGGTGATGCTTCAAAACAAAGGGATGAAATTTGTTACAGATGTGGAGTGAAAGGTCATTGGTCTCGTACTTGTCGTACACCAAAGCACCTTGTTGATCTCTATCTAGCATCTACCAAAGGAAAGGGAAAAGGAAAGGAGATAAATTTTGTTGATTTTGACAACGACTTTGATACTACAATTGAGCCGATGGAAGCAACTCATTTTGATGTGGATGATTTTCTGATTGAGCCAAGTCGTGATATTAATGGAGCTGAATATTATGGTGGTGATCCTTCAGTTAGCCAAAATAAGATTAAGGATGAGTGATTTTGAGTCAAGTTTAATTTGTGTTGCA